CCCCCCCAAGGTGCAGTCGAAGACGAAAAACTAAACTGCAAAAAAATGGTGTTGGAGGATGAACGCTCCATATTCCCGAGGTCGAGGTGGCTGCATACTTCAACATGGAATAGGATGCGTTTTTCGAAGATATCTCCATTCAAGACAATTACGATTATGTCTTAAACTGGATAAAGGCACAGCCACAAATGTATCGAAACGGCAATGTGCCATGAAAAGTGCGATGGTAGCTAAATGGTTAAAACGGCGTGCGCAGCCACAACCTCTCAATCTCCGGGATATGTAGCCATCAATTACATGTCATGAAAGGTTGTGCGACGTCAGGTTACAGGTTAGTCCTTTATATGTCCTTTTCTACCCCTCCTGACACCACCCCCGGATCGAGACAATGTATACTGCACATTTTGAATTGCGGAGTTAAATGGATCTACGCCCTTTCCAACAGAACAACTTACCAGTAAAATTGACATAGTCGATCAGAAATGATTCTGGGATATCTGACTTGTTTCCAGAAAAGCAGACCAAGTGGACACGAATCGAGTTACAGCTCTATGAAACAAGACCGAACTAAAACCGAAGAAGACAAACTGGACAGCAATATAAGGGTTTGAAAGTCACTTACCATCAGCTAACTGCTGGCGATGATAATAATAAAATGAGGTGCTGGATCATGAACCGGAAAAAGAGGGAAAACTGCACGTCGTGAAACTAAAGACCTTTAGCAGGTTAATCGAAATGCAGGGAAATGGAGGGAGAGGAAGAAACCACCACTGCCCTCCTTCTTGGTGCTACTTTCGCATTGAAAGCGCCAGTCCGACCTGAAAGGAAACACCAAAGAGGAAGGTCATCATGTTAACTGATCGCCGCCCAACTGCTTCGTGTAGAATGTGCCAATCACTTTGACGTGGAAGGATGCGTCCATACTTTGCGGCAGCGTCCATCCAGCGACCAATAGCGTCCACTAACGTTCCGAGCGTCCGGCAGCGTCAGCGACTAGTGAAAGTACAGATATCGAATCTACCGCCTGCCAGCCTCCACCATTGTCTCAAAGGCCAGGGTAGGCGCTAGGTCGATACCAGGGAAGTATAGGTATCGACCTAGCGCCTACCAGCGTCCCCTAGCGTCCAGGAGTAGAGTATAAGGAGATGGAAGGGTGCCACACTGGTGGTAGAGAGTATGGCCGGCGAACAAGGAGGCTAGGCAGACAGACTGTACAGCTATCCCGCAGTCCATATTTCTTTAATCCAGCAGTTCGCTTGGTGACGGCGTGGTAGGGCCGCGAGATCGAATACCTATTAAGCTATAACGCTAGCTCTCGTGAGCGCTGGTGAAGCTGCAGAACGCTATTTGGAACGCTAGTACGGCTATTGTGGCACAAAAAAATGCCAATCTTGTATACTAATGTTGAGAAGATGGAAGAGCTTCTCCACGCTAACTACCTGTGAAGCCGGGGTAAAGTCCCTGCAAGGAGGAGAGGGGGAGGGGGGGCGGGAGAGCGCTTTCGTCATCATGTTAGTAGCACCTCGCCCATCACAGTGGTGGACATTTTCATTAAAAGTCTACACGCTTTGGCTTAACTTTAAGGGCATGCGCTCAATGAAATGCTTCGTTCAAGATCTGTAGGGCAGTTGGAAAAGCTCCTGTACACTTTCATGCAATGTCGTTACAAATCAAGCAATTTGGCACCATTCATGTTTAAGGGCTGAGTCGACTGCAGGTTACAAGCTTATACAGGATGGCATTTTGGGGAGGGATATATACAGTTGCGTCCTCAGAGCAATGGCGAGAGGCATGAGGGCACGTCAATATTATAGCGCGCGACGCGAGAGCAAGAGTACTAGGCGATCTGGAGAAACGTGACAGGAGGTGTAAGTCGCAAGTTGAATTTAGTGGCCTTGAAGCGCTTTCAGGGGTTGGTTCAGATGATTCCCGGTTCAGGCTGGCAGTCTGGAGGCCGTTGCTGGTGAATCATTTTGGCGCAGCTTTTGGATTTGAACGCGCCATCAGGTTGGTTTGAGGTATGGCGTAGATTTTCGGGCGCTACTTTGGCTAGCATCCGTAGTGACATGGTCATCTGAAGGTGATTACAATCGAGATTAAAACAGGGTTCACTTCGCTCTCTGCCTCCTTTGAAACTCGTCGGGTGCGCGCCTGATTTCGATTATGCAAAATGCAGGTACATAAGAGCGCTTTACTTCGTGGTTGTGCGATCGTATGAGCGCGCGGGGAAATCAGTGTCGCCAGGGTAATCGTGCGGGTACCGCGGCGCGTCTGATTGTTCAAAGTGCGACTTCGCCGTTTTAGCCTTACGTCCTAGAAAATGAGGCTAATGCGTTTGGACTCGCAGGCAACTTCGGAACCCTCGAGCTCATTTTTTAAACTGCCCCAAGTTAAATAAACGGGGACGCAGATCCGCTAAAAACTTGTATTATAGGGGTAATTCAACATCCTGATCACGAATATGACATACATTTTTGGCACTGGCGCTAATGGATGACACTACGGTTACCTGCGCTCTGCTAAGGCTGAGACCAGGAGGTAATCGTAGTGTCCCCGCTTGGCGCCAGCGACAAGAGTGAATGTCATATTCGGTAACTCAGTAGATGGTTAAACTACTTATATAATAATCAGAGGTATTTCAGCGATTTGGTGACTTAGGGAATTTGAAATGAGCTCGTGCCGAAGTTGCTGGGTCCAAACGCATTTAGGCCGAAATATGTACGCGCAAAGCCGAAGTGAGTAAGGTCTTAATAGCTGCGGATTGGAGGGAGCGTGCCAAGGTAGATGTGTGTTTGCAGCAGCACCGGAACTCCCTTCCCTAGCGCACTTATGCTAAAGCGAATGCGGATAAGCAATTGTGGAAAACGACTGATATCGAACAATGATGATAGCCTTCTCGCGTTGCGCTTGGGGTGGAAAAAGCGAGTAATGACGCGCCGCCGCCAAACGTCGTTTTGGCCTTCTCACGGCCCTTCATCCGCCAGCAATAAAACTGTAACTCCTCTTAATTTGTGCACTTTTAGAACGATTTTGCAGGTACCGTTTCATTTCTAGAAACAATGAGAAACTTTTTCTGGAAATAAACAGGTTCGGGCGGTCACCTCCATAACCTCAAGCGCAGAGCACTTTGGTGCATGTGGATACAAAATATGAGGAGTAACATTTATTATAGCAACAACAACGTTTAAATAGTCTTCTATTAAATAATTTAAACACCAGTTCTCAAGACCTAGTTCGTTTTCTTTCCAGTGGTGATAGGTTTCGGAGGCTCCTTGTAATGGAGGAACACAAGCGAGAACAGTACTACTCCAAGCATCATGGAAAATGACGACGCGTAGTATGGATACGCCGATCGAATGAAACGTTCATACTGAGTGTGCAGTAACGGACGGACGGACACCTGCAAATAATGTACACCCTTGTTCACTGCAGACGCTGGGGCGTTTTCAGGGGACTGGGTTGGCTCGGGCCAGCCTGTTCTGCACCAGTGTAGTCGTCTGTCAGTTCCTACGATTGGTGAGAACAGGCCGGCTCTGTGTCAAACCCAGCCCCTTGAACCGCTTGGAGAACCCACCTTGAACTCAGCCAAACCCCAAATATGACCCCACCTGCTGCACATCATAGAGATGTGTATATCCAACTCTACGGTAATCAACTAGGAACTTGTAAACTCCATACACGTCCGGCAGCTTAAAGCGAGTCGAAAAGCGTCCATTCTGGAAATGTGACCTTGTGTTCAACCCAACAAGACGAGAATGTCCCACGGCTTACCTTAGAAGCAAGAGTTGTCCTGACGAAAGGATCAATGCGTACAAACTCGAGTTGAACATCTTTTCGATTGAATGGACGCCATTTTCCTTCGTGAAGCTCCTCTATTTCGATGGCGTACTCCTTAAAAGATGGCAATTAGATTAGGCAAAGTGGACAAATAATGCAATAACGGTAGCACTCACCACTTCGTCCATGATTGTGTACTCTCTTGGGACCTCTTTACTGCCGGCTAGATGATGCTCAACCTTCTTAACGCGCAACACACCGTTCTCCTTGAGTACCCATTTCGACAATGCCGTCACGAGTTCCATGTTGCCGGATCGAACAGCTCTGAATCAAGTACTGAGTATAATGAGGGCATGTCGTATAGTGGGAATTTCCAGCGAGAAGGTCGCATCTGGTTGGGGGTCAAATTCTTTGAAAAACCAGTTTTTTGAATGTACCCCCTCGCCTCTGCTCGATAGACGGGTTTTCGGAAAAAAGGGGTAGGAAATCGGGAGGATTCAGCAGGTGGTAGGTAGGATAGGGGATTGGCAAGGGGAGGTTTCAAGAAAGGAAATTTCGAGAGGTAGGTGGTAGTAATTCCACGAGGGCAGGGAGTGCCGAGCATAATCGTCCGCCACGTAGCCCCTTCCTTGAAAAACTGGGTTAATCATATGCTTTCGCACCCTTACAGTTTAGGAAGCTGTCCCACCCAAGCACGTCGTGCCGCCACGGGAAAGTATTGTAAAATGCGACCCCCCCCCCTCGAAAATTACTTCTTCTGTACGACCTCTCATTCCATCGTCCTACCTACCGTCCTCCCTGATTTTCCTAACTTCCTACCACTTTCTTCAGAGGTTTGGATTTATTTCGTAAACTTCTCCACTCCTCCTATCTTTCCAAAAAAAACTACCGTCGAAAGGGAGGGTGAGGTATATAGCTCACTAGATAGCGGAAAAGACTGGGAACATCCTCCTCATAAGGCAAATACTTTGCCTGTGCCTCACTGTCCATTATCACCTACCTGCTCTCTTCTGTTCAGCAGGAGGACCAGCAAAATGAGCAGCTGCATAAGCGAGTACAACACGACAACAGACGAGGGATCCATGCGTGGCGCGCTTATTTCACTCTCATTCCTAAGGCGCAGGTCTAGCAAAGCGCAGACGACCACAGTCGGAGCAGCAGTGTCCCGCAAAGTATATATGGTTGCGCCCTCGAACAGAGAAAAATCTTAATCCAAGAGCGCTAAGGTAGTAAAACCACAAGCGGGTTATATGCACACAGTATAGGCGTCGCATTCGCAAGTTATAAGAGAAGTATATACGATTCAAAATAACCTGAAAAGGAAAACTCACTCTTCAGAACTTCCAACTTTATGGACGTCCGCTGAGAGGAAAGCATCCGAAAACATTTCCACCGATCCTGTGAAAACCACACGAGCATTGTTCCGCGCCTGCACTGCGCCAATCATCAATATCTGTTGTCCAAGGGCACCGGGATACTATAATAGAAGATTAACTTCTTTTCAAACGTAAATAAAAACCATGCCATCAGGGAATAAAAAACGAGCCGACGTATTCAAAGCGATAAGCGGCTGCGCGACTGGTCGTCTGTGCCTTTACCCAAGACGATACTAGTTCATTACTTCTCCCTCCCCCTCCCCACCCCTCAGACTGAACTTTACAAAAGCGCAGACCACCAAAGTCCCGGCGACCTGATCTCGCCGTCTACCCTTCCTCTCAACTACGGTGACGCCAAAAAAAGGATAGCAACCTGTAATTTTAATAGAAAAAGATCACCTCATCTACAGTCTCAGCTGGATTGTAAGAATACGCAGTGGATGCTGCACGCAGCACTTCGAGGCGTAGACGATTATTCTTGTGTGCAATCATGGCAATACCCTAGAAACGCGTGTCTCTAACTGAATCAAGTAAAAGAACCGGTTCAACGGGTACCTTGAATAGAACTGGATTCATTTTTGCAGTTTCTCCGACAACAAGCTGAGCGTTCAACAGTTGCTGCTTGGAAGCAACGATCGTTGTGTGGTGTCCATCATCCTGAAGATTACAGAAACAATTCATGCTTTTTTTTACACAGTAGAAACAAACCGAACAAACGCACAAGCAGCTCGTCGTAATTGTTATGGTCGATGACCATAGTATCCGACTCGTCGAACTCAAAGCCATGTTGGAGAGCCAGTTCACGAATGGCGTTACCGAGATTAGAGCCTCCAGCAACCAACAGATTACCGCCTTCGTCAACAAACCGGGAAATCTCCTCAGCAGTAATGGAACCACCGAATTCTGTAAGCAGTTGAACGTTTCCTAGATACGATATGCCATCAAAGTTTGCTCTTACTTGTTAAAACTGATGGCTGTACTTCACCCTTTCAGAAAAGTATGGTTTTTATTAACCTACAGCTCATTAGTACACTATATCAGAGACAGTTTCCGCTCTCCAATTCGTAGGTGTCCCTCCTTGTACAAGTAGCCTAGTCTTCACTCTCTAAGGCTGCGCACTTTCGCTGCTTCACGGTAAATAACGAAGGCACTGTGGCTCATATATGTGACAGTTCCGAGGCCTCCCTAATTACACACCCTGCTGTATCCCGACAACCGAATTCTAGCTTACGAGTTAGCTTTACACACGCTTTTACGCTTTTTTTCCACTTATTAGTGGCATTAGCACTGCGACGATGCGATAGATAACCATCATACAAGGCAGACGCAGCTATCGCTTTCCTCGCGTAATGCGAATAAGGTCCGGAAACACGTACAGTTAGGCGTTGGGGGGGGGGAGGAGGAGCGGAAGGCGGAGGAAATTACACTTGCGCATTGCTTCTCATTTTTTTGTTCTTTTTTTCTTGGAGATTCACACAGCGATTACAGGCGTGTTACTGAACGATACCACCCACAATATTCAATTGGGGTTCATTTTCAAAGAATATCTCCACGCCAGACATTCCTACTTTTATTTCCCCTTTTCATTTCGCATATGGTTTTTTGTGAAAATGTTGGCTTAGCTCATGAAACAATGTCCGGTGACGTGTTCAGCCCTTTCAGTGCACAGTAACGAAAAAAAAATGATGGCATCAATGGCAGGAAGCGGATTACAGACAACTTTTGCGGCAATGCTCCTCTTCCACCTGGTACCGATCATAAGTACAATTTCGCATGATCAACACAAAAAAATGGAAAATTACCTTCTACGGATGGAGCGAAAATGATCAAGTGATCATAATTCCTTTCACCATATTTGATCAAAGAGAGTGAAGGATCGTCCGCAGTACGAAAAACTAGTTGATGTCCACGATCTAAATTGCTAGAAGATTATGAACGATTACTGATATTTGACTACTCAGGCAAAGTCGGCCAAGTGGCGGGGGGAGCATTCAAAGACTTCTTGTGAAAGCTGGAGCTGCCTTAATGGGAAACCCCTTTAGCCAGAAGAAATTGGCCCATCAACCCTGGAGCTACATTCTTCCTAGGCTTACGCGAATTTTCAAGTTTTCAGACAATGTCCCTTGGATGCTCGATCCCTCTTAGCCGATTTGAGCCCTCTTAAACAAACCTTGAAGTGAGCGAAAGAAGGACGAATGAGTCTCTCTAGCACTCAGACACTCAACCAGCACAAGAGTTCGGTCCGCATTCACCAGTGCAATGAGTGTAGCAACGAGGAATAGGAGCCTCATTCTGAAAATGACCTCATAAGCTAGAAGTAGGGGTAAATTTCTAAAAATGCAAAAAAGATGTACTCATTGGTCGAACTGTGACACGCCACGTATAATAGCGACCGCAACCAACAAAACCGTCACTACAGTAAGCCGGACATGTTCCTCACGTACAAAGTTCAGCACCAGGTGAGCACATACACGAATCACTCCTTTCAAATGATTGCTCTGGCTTGCAGTATTATCGAATAGGTAAAATTTAAGATATGACATTATCTCCCCCTCCCCCTCATAAGTTTCAATCAGGGCATGTCCTGTCGCTGGAGCAAATTTTTGCAAAACCTCCTCCAAACCTCCCATCTCCTGCAAATGTCCTCCTCAGGTGCAAGTGCGACCCCCTTTTCCTCCACGCTAATAACGATCTAACCGTCTTTCCCGGCTTCCTCCCCATTTTTCTCGACTTCTCCAAAAAAAATACCCTGCTTCCCCCAAAAAGAGATGCCGTGGAACGAAGGTTGCGGAAAAGGTGCCTCAAGCAGCTACTAAACTCAGCTATGAAAAAAAGTGGTTGTACAGGACATTGCGCCGCCAAAAAGCGGGGAGGAAGAACTGCACCACCTCCGTGAAGTGACCAAATAGGATCCCCCGTTGCGGATTCCCCAGCGCACCAAGCACCGCGATTTCAATACCCAGATAACCAAAAAACACTTCACCAGGTTGCCGCGAGATCTTATCCCAATTTGTGGGCGGTTAAATAGCTACAAAATATTTTAAGATGAATTTTTGAACGGTTAGTGGGTCATCGAAAGACGACTCATTAATAAAATACACACTGATCCACACGAAAGGTGAACAAACTGCGATGAAGCTGTCCACAAACCATGAGGCACTATCTCAGCAAACTAGGATATAGAATAGTAAAAAAGGGCGCAGTTCGCTGATGAGGGGGGAGGGGGGGCATTTTGCTCTTTTGCTGCTTCACTAGCTGCGATTTATAAGCATGGGGCAAGCTCGTCCATCCACCATAAAAAGTGGTGGTCGTATAGTTTTCATGGCCTTAAAAAATTTGCGATGTTTTTTTACCGGGATTGAGAGGTGCTCATTACAGACCGGTTGGTACCATTTCGTGGCCTCACGGTTTCACAGGTCCCCACTTAATGACTCGTCAAGTCGATGGGAGGTAGCAGAAGTGCAACATGCCCCCCTCCCCATCTTGTGGCGTCAAAAAAATATTTCCAACGAAATCGTTGCAAAGACAAGAAACAGTCACGTACTGAAATCTTTTAATAGCATAAAGGAAACGTTAAAACTCCTAAAACTGGAACGTAGGATCCTTAACCAGGAGCACCGAAAAGCGAGAAAAAGTAATCCGCATAAAAACTAGATCGATGATACAATCGTTAACGCTGAACACGACTTCTAGAGAAAATGGTTTAATCATGGAATAAGGGTCACATTTGCTCAATTATTGGAAGACCCGGATACTACTACATGTGCTTCCGGTATTCGGAGAACCACACCGAACCACAAACCCTTTTCAAAACATCACTAGATAAAACGAAATTCAAAAAATACAACATAAATAAGTAAGATCTAGAAATAATGGCAATCGCCGTGCACAACGGAAAAGTGAAAATCAAATGGTAGTGTGGCCACAATTAAAATCAGAATACTTGAATATAATGACAAAGGTATGAGGAGGCATGTCAGATCAACGACACATTGTAGCATCGATTTGCTTTACTTGTGGAAGAGTGAGCATCACTTTTCTTCGGTAACCAGTTCGATCTTCTTCATAGATGGGATTCCTCTCCAGGTATACTGTATCCAATTTTTCCAATCCTCGAAGCTTTTCTACTTCAGCCCAGCTCGAAATGCGATTATTATTTGCCTAGAATGTCAATTATGAGTAGTATTAGACCAGAGGAAATACCTATGACCGCGTTCAGACTTCGCGATCTCGAGCGATTGCATCGCGCGATCCATTCAGGGGATCCGATTGCGAATTCTTACGCTAGTTAGGTCTCCAAGTTCGCTTTGGATGTTGTGGAGCTTCTCAAGTCGTTACAAATTGAGACTGAGTAGCTTGCAAGGCACCAGCACCAGCGTGACACAGGCCAAATTTTGTCCTGTGAGGTTATTTGGCTATGTCACATCCACTTAGAGCGAAAAATCACGGCGTTCTCGCCACAGGCGCCATTCCCTAGTGCCAAAGCTACTCTCAGCTACCGCACTCTTTTCGCTCATCTTATACTATCTTGCCTAAATCTCTTAACTTCTACCAGTTTTCAAGAATTATTCCACTCCGTCTCCAGGAAAAATGTTGAGTGGGGAGAAAGAGGCTATGCTTCTTTACAAGCGTTTTCATACCAAGAGCATCTGACTCAGTAGGCTGAATATTCCGGAAAAGGTTTGCCACTTTCGTTGCTTTGAGGGATTTTCACGCCAAGGCCAAAAGTCAGCCGGAGTTGATGGAACATTCACGTTAAAAGGTCGAATTTCCAGTGGAGATGAAATTTTAAGAGGTACCCGATAAAAATCTGGTCTGAAGTTCGGTATACGGTGCAGAGAATATGTGGAGGTTAAAAACATAAGAAAACGATATGATAAAGGAGAAACAATACCCAGAAAATCAGGTCAGCTCCTTCAGCTCCGATATTCCGTCAAGTGATGACACACAATTGTAGGACACATCCACAACGCGAAGTTTCTTCTGAAGAGAATAATATTTGGTTCACTATAATCGATGCAATCTGATCTTTGTGTCAACAACCTCTTGCTGGAAAAATAAGGCAAAATTGAGCAACTAGTGCCGAAATGTCCCTACAGGAACTACGAAAGGTTTGCGCTTACTTGAATACGATTTTTTTTTTCTGGAAGCCTAATGTATCGGCTTCATTCTGTAAGTTTTTCCCTTCACGGCTTCACCCACGTCAAAATGAAGATATGGGCCTTGTGGGTTTACTTCCTTCGCCCATCGCAAATGATGCGCGTCCCCCTCTCCTGCCCTCAACCTATAGCCGTTACGTGACAGGAGAGGGTTACAACCAAACGATAGAAACGACGGACGTGCTGGCAGTGAAGAAAAACGTGGCTAAGTGCCAACGAATGACGAACGAGAACTTAACCTGTTTCATAGTTGGCTCTCACCACGACCAACTACTGAAATGGCAGGAAAGGGCAGTTGTTTCACGGGTTTTCGGTGTTTTCACAGTCTTTCATTGCTAATTAGCACTCCCATGAAGCGATAAGACGAATGGAAAATCCATTGGGAAGAAACTCACAAGGAAAGGTCAATAGGTCGGTCCGGCCATTTGCAATGAGATGCACATCGTTGTACTCAGACTTGAGACGATGAACTCAAAACTATCTTCAAAATTTGCGGAACGATTCTCTGAGCGGAGTTATGGAGGTTTTTCTTTACTGTTTTTCTTCTTGGCGCGCTGGCGCCGAAGCGTTGGCACCTGTAGCGCGACTCACAGCGCTCTTCGCGCAAAACAGGTATCATATTCGTGTTCAGGGGGTCAAATAACCCTAGAGACGTCACCTTAGCAAAATCTGAGCTTCTGACTCAACTTCGAAAAATGGGGTATGGATAGTCATGGCTGACTAGCAGCCAACAGCGATACTAGAACTAGCCTACTGGTGATGACTGGTCTTCCAACTGAAATAACTCTTCAGCCATGTTTTTTTTTCCAAAGAACAATACCTGGCTGACTTATTCGTGCCGTCTGCACCATTTTCGTGTTTACCGGGAGGAATTCCATTCCGAGATCAGTCATCGATGGTAGGTGAGCTCCACTTTGCAGCAATTACCCATCGCAGCTCATATTTTGAAAATTAGGTCGTAATATCAGATTTGGCTACAGCCTTGTCCCCAGAGGTAATTTGACCCGCTGAACATGAATAACATGCGCAATAACATATTTCATTGCTAAAACCCTTGTGACATGTGTTACAAGGGGGACAAGCACAGCACCTCTCAGGCCACAATAGGTCTACACTTTCAAAAAAAAAACCGACGGCCTTTTCCCTTACAGGCTAGTGCAGGCGAGCAGAGATGTTAGAAACTTTGTCGGCCGTGTTCTTGGACAAATGCAAAGAACTCGAGAATCGTTCCGCAAATTCTGAAGGTAGATTTGAGTTCACCGTCCCAAGACGCGTACAACGGTGTGCATCTCATTGGAAATGGCCGAGGCTGACCTGTTGACCTTTCCTGGTCAGAACTATTAGCTCCTCAAACTCCTGAAGCGGAATAGTTCAGTCGGATTGCCAAGCGAAGAGAAAGAACAAGAATAACGATCCAATAGTTTTCAGAGACGTTTCAATTAGATAGCACAGTTTTTCCTGCCATTCAGTTACTCCAGTGATCTTTAGAGAAAACGAAGCAGGTGAACATAAACAGACCTGTGAGCTCACGTAGTGTTCTCAAAATAGAATTAACAAAAAATCAAGGGGATCTTTTGAAAGATGTTGAAGTGCAACTAGTTTCAACGAACCAGATGAGCGAGATGGGAGATATCTTCAATTCCCTGGTCATCGAGATAAACTTCCTCGAGATTAGTGAGAGTTTCCAGGTTTTCCACCTTAGTGAAGCGATTTGCCTGGAAGTAAGCTAAGATAACGAAACTCTGTAAGACACACGAGTAAAAAGGTGCCAATTCTGTGAGGCGGGGCTATTTTGTGCACTGCAACGCTTTTTAAAACTGCGGCACTTTCTTACTACAAAGAAAGAGAAGCGGGCGGAAAGAGAACGACTGTCCGCCTGCAGTGAAAAGATTGACACACGAAGTGCAGAATCGCGCGAAAACTAGTACCGTATTTAACTTGTTAATTCCTGCGGCAGCGCTGCCACGTCAAATACATTTGGTCCTGATGCGAAAAGCACTACTTGAATGCATCTTCCTCCGCGCCTCAGAGGCTCTGAATTATACCCTGAGCCAGAAGATGAGGATTCTTGCGTGGGCGCTCAGTAACGGGTGAACCACTTCCCTTCATCTTACTGGGAAATCGCCTGCCATAATACCTGAAATAGAAACTCAAGTCAATTACACGTACCGGTAGGCTGAGCAGCCTCAGGTTCTTCAAAGTTTCGAGTCCCTCTATCCGTGGAAGTTTATTTTTGCCAACATACAGCTCTTGCAATTTCACGAGATGAGAAATATTTTCAATCTGTTTGATCCTGAAAAAAAATTGTCTGTAATCTAACTCGCACACTGTAATGTTGAGACGAACCTGTTGTCGCCCAGTTCTAAAAGTTCTAGCTCTGAAAGTGCATCGAGACCCTTAATTTCCGATATTTTGTTATGGACTAGATACAAATGTGTTAACTTGGTAAGAGTTGAAAGTCCCTCAATTTCGCGTATCCTGAATTGAGATTTTAGTTCAGTATTCAGAAAAAGGAGCCTGTTTAATGACAAAATACCTATTAAAGCTTAGGTCGAGCTTCTTCAAATTGACAAGCGGTTCCAAATTTGCAATGGCGTCGATCTGGTTCTCATACAAATCCAGCTCCGTAAGATTGGTAAGTGGACGCAAGTTTGTACCCATGGACTTGAGTAGATTGGTGCGAAGAATCAGTTCCTGCGAACGTTATAATTATGTGGCTGTTTGCATATCACAATCAACCCACATCACAATCGGTCATACTTCGCGTCAGCGTTTCGTGCATACGGCAGCGTTTTGAGCGACTAGAGGGAACACATGCATCGATCTAGCGTCGCCAGCGTTTTCTGCTACTACCTTTAAAAAGTTCAAATCCATCCGCGAAACGCGCAAAACGCTCCTGTACGCTAGATCAATACTTATACTTTCATATTCGCTCGAAACGCTGCCGTACGCTCAGAACGCCGACGCAAAGCATAAACACAGCCTGAAGTGGTGTTACTATGATAACTACTGTTTAACGTCACAGTTCTCATAAGATTTCTCAACAGGAATATTGCTAATTCAACGCAAATACCTTCAAATTTGTAAATCGCGTAAGATCCGGGATATGGTCAGCCCGAGTGTGATTCAGCTCGAGGGACTGAAATAAATATTTATGAAGAAATGAAATGAAATTTTGAAAGATAAACTCAGAACCAACTTCAGTGTCATCCGCAAACTGTTGCAGATTGTAATCATTTGTTACAATGGCGGGTTTTTCATGTTCAGCACCGTCGTTACTATGCTCCTCCTCATCGTGTTCACGTGGAGAAGGGTTTTCTTCGGACATCTAAATCTATTTATTTACATAATTATCGCGACCATTAATTACACAGCTATGCGAATCCGAACACAATACGAAAACAATGGTAAAATGTTAAACAGTAATGAGCAAAACTGCTAATTTACAGATATCACATCTACTTCCTGTCAAACGGATCTCTCCAAACACGTTGGCCATGAGCCAGATCTTCTCGAGTTCCTCGCAGTAAAGCTCTTTCCTCCGCTTGAGCTTTTTTATAGTAGTCGTTTTCTATTTTCGGATACAAAGCCACAAAGAAAACAGCAGCGGTGGTCAGCACTACTGTGCCGATTACAGCAACAGTGCCAACAGATGGTCGTGAGAATCTGTTCAGTGCTGGCATCTTGTTTCGTACAGCCAGCCAAAATGGCACTGGAGCCCCAGTTGGTACCCGCATTCTGTTCCTAAACACGAACATTTGGAGAATTTATGAAAGTCGAGGCACTGTTTTATAGAAATATTCAGACCGCGTTCAGACTTCGCAATCGGATCGCTCGAGAGATTGGATCGCGCGACCACGACTACCACAAAAGGTGCCACCAGGGTACAGCGTTGATCGTTGTGTGAAACACATATAGGTGGTAGTTTTTTTCTGGAGAGGATAGGGTGGTCGGTATGTGCCTTTGAAGAAATGTTGACGCGTTGTCGTTCCCGGCTGATTGGCTTTTTGCGTGAGATTTTCCATCGTTTTACATTAGCTTACGTACCCCCACCCCTTGACGGAAACTTCGTGTGGTTGAAAAAACTAAAAAAATGTGTGGGAAATGGTCGGGGTTAATGTTATTGGGAATAGCCGGGGGTGTTTCGTACCGAGACGCCTCATTCATTTAGGGTGGGGGGGGTCGATTCATCTCTGCTCTCCGGAAGGGGGGGGTTCCGTATATACCACCATCCACACATTAAGATTGTTCCCTGGGATGCCGCATGTGTTTCGACACAATTCATACATGAAAGCCCACGCTTAATTTTTTGATTATTCTGCCGTTGAATAGTGTGTTCGTTTGGTGGAATGGCATTGCAGCTCCCCCGGTCGTTCGTCGCGCCAAAGCGGTCCAATCGATGCGATTGAATCGCGAGTGTGTACGCAGTTCGCGCAGCGAGAGAGCGTCGAAATCAAGATTTCAGTTATGTGATGATAACAATTGAAAGATGAGTCTCAAACCAATAATATGAATTAGTACATTTCTTGTTAACTGCTTTGGGGTTTTATGTGTATGATGGGCAGGTCAGACTAGGACGTGTTTGGCGCGAAGCCAGCCCGTCTTTCTTCTTTGTTTCCTTCAATCGAGCAACAAGACTGCTAAGTACACGTCTCGTACCGGCGCTTTCCACCCAAAATAGTGTGTCGGCTTACTCGCCTTCAACACGGAAACACTGGTGGGGAGAACTGATTAGCAGCGCCAAACCCACCTCGCCTCATCACCCGCGGGGAGCAAGGACTGTGAGCTATGCTTGAAGAAGAAGAAGAAGGAGCATTAGGTCGAGTACAGAAGACGCATCAATGAAAGCAGAGTTTGGCAAATGTTCACAGCGTTACTACATGCCCGCTTGAGGATAAAATTACGCGGCACAGGAACATTCAGGGCCCAGATCACAAACCTCAACCTCCTTTTGAGCAACCACCTTTGAGGCGTTTTACGTTCATTCCTTGTTGAAACTGGCACTCACATATCGAATCGTTCATTACTTCGCGAATGCGTGAAGTGCGTCTACGACTCCGCTCTGAAAATCGGATTACACTTATTGTCGAAGAATCCGCCATTCCGGAGAGTTGGCGACAGCGTGATAGATAAAGATTGATTGACTACGCCTACAGGGTTTTCGGCGAGTTCTTCAGTTCAGGATGCGAGGGCTGGAACGCAGTTTTCCGTTCGTTGATTCATGACAAAAGTATAAAGGCCAAACTTTTAGGTAAGAAATAGTCAGAGAGTAAAAATCCATTAAGCAGAAGTTGAGGCAGGTGCTATTGAAAAGAATAATTGAAAAAAGAAAACGCTCCAAAACACATATGGTCCACTTCCTTTCACACAGACAACCGTTACGTTCTTTCGTCAACCAGCGGGTTCCCGATGAAATCAAGAAACGATTTAAAGAGGTAAGATTAAAACAAGAACGGCACAAGGAAAGTTGATGAAACAGGAAAAATAAGGAAATTCGTGACGTGAACGCTCATGCGAAACCCTCGGTTAGGCACTGTTCACAGTCTGCGGCCCAGCGTTTCTCTAGAAAGAAACGCTTCGGCGAAAAGCTTCCGATACGCATCGACTGGCGGTTGGGGCGAAGAGTCTGGCGGTTGGGCGAAAGGATTTCATACGAAGCGACGGGACGTTACCGCGGACGTTTTTTCGCCTTCGCGAAACGCTACTCGATCGCCGTAGCGTTTTTGGCCAGCGAAATCGATTTGCATCTATTGCTTTGTCGTCCAATTGCTGTTTTCGGAAGAGTCGCAGATTGCGAACAATGCCTTAGGGGATGTCGAAGTGAGCTGGTTCCCCTCCCTCCTTCCAACCACATTAGCGCGCAAGACCAATCTCTTTAGTTCATGACGTGCTTCGACTTCCAAAAAAAATATACTTGTTGGAAGTTACTAAACTGGTCAACTTAGAGCATTACTTCGGTCCTAATTACCTCCTAGACTTATGAACCCATACAGACCATTACCACGGGGATTAGAGCTTCGCAGCGAAAAACAATGATCCGCAATTACCCCCTCACTTCATTAGCACTGGAGAAGCGTTTCATTTTGAGAAAAAGATGGCTGACAATTTGTAGAAAGTCCGTATTAGAATACCACTAGCCATGATAGTAATGTTACAAGCTCAGGGAAGGGTGACCTTCTGAAATTATACACCAGTAGGAAGGTAGTCAGTTGTGTATCGAATAGGCCTGAGTTTTAAGTGCATTTCAGTATATTACTTTGAGCAGCATTCCGCGATTACCTGGTTCCTTGTACAAAGTGATGCGGACCGCAATCGCAGAGGATGTACCATCCTCGGCTAGAAAATCCATGATAAGGACGTCAGAGGTCCATGACGCACACTGAGCTCCGCCCCTAACGTCAATCTCCACCCTTATCCTTTCATTCCGTAGTCGTTACTTAAAGGTGCACTCTTGTTCGTCTTTTTGCTCACTTGCCAAATCGTCGTTGTTTCTCTGTTCTGCGCTTAGTGTCCCTGACACGTATTGATAGACTTGACTCTTCCCCAGTAAAAGAACTGGAGGAAGTGGTTAGGCATATCTCGATCGAGGGAATCGGAGGACAAGAGAATTGAAGAACAAGATAATGGGAGAATCGGAGAACATGGGGACAATCTCCAAATACGAACAGATTTCCTCCGTCCCGTCCAAATTCAGAACCGGATAATCACTGAGAAGAAAAGGATCCTCATCGATCTGAACACAGCCAAGTGCTACTGAAAGGATTCTCCAGACTGATTACGGTTGTATCAAATCTTTCCGGACATTTCCAATATGCGGAGCCAAATAAATCGATTTGCATAGATTCTGTTTCGCGGCGATTTTCCAGATCGTTACGCGGCTTTTCACAGATGCTTCCGATCTTCAAAGGAACAAGATGCAGCCCAGATGCTTCATGTTGAACATGAAGGCACAGAACTCGGATGTCGGAGATACCCTTTCTTTTAAAGAACAGAAAGAAGAACTACTGAGAACGGCGAACACGCGGTGCACTGTGAACTCCTTTAGGAGGCTTGCCGTGCCTGTCTATACCATCCTCGGACTTCAATATGGAGGGCTGTTGTGACCAGGAGAAAAAGTTACTCGCGAAGTGATAAGGCTGCCACGAAAGATAAGTGACCAAAAATTGCTAATTAAACCATTTCCGAGTCATGGCTGGTACCAGAGTTGAAGGAAGCAAAAGTCTTCAGGTTCTATTAAAAGTGAGCGAAAAGATCGAATCTCGCATGAGTTGCAAAAATAAAATGATTTAAAGAGAGTACCTCCGTGCGAAACAAAAGGACGGAACTTTTGGCATTGGAGCGAAATATTGGCATTCGAGCACCATAACCGCGCAGGAATTGGCAACAGACATCCTTCCAACCGCTCTTGAAAAAATCATGGCAGTAATAAAGCTGCTGTATTCAGCGAAGCCGAGACGGAATTTGAGTCAGACCATGAAGCTCTTCACAAATTATAGACGGCAATAACCTAACGATAGCGTCCTTGACGTTGGTTTATCGTTGGCTAACGTGGCCAGAGTACAGCATTGTGTGAAATGATGGTTCCGTACAACCCACCCCCCCCCCCCGAAGGAGGCTTCTCCTCTCGGGGGGGGGGGTGGGTCGAAACCTAGAAGAAGGCCCGGGTGCGTCTCTCCCCCACTTCTTCAACAATTACCTACCAATTTCCCCCATTTTCCAGTTATTCGCCCAAAGATTTTCCGTCGAGCGGGGGAGGGGTAACGACCGTGAAAGAATTTTTCCCGGTCCCAACGCAACAAATTTCTCTCAAAGCACATACGACCCCCCCCCTCTCAATAACCTTCAAAATACTGCAAATATTTACGATTTCTAGGCCTTCATGGAACCTGGGGCATCGGTCGGCAAGCGAGCGTAAAATAAAAACCCGCCGCTGTAAATTACGATTATCTTGACTGCCTCCTAGAAGGAGGTGCGGGGGACATGTGACTGCCTGATGATTGGACCAGGCCGGCCCTGGTCGTGCGCTTTCTGCTAAAATCTAGCTTTGGAGAGAAAAACGATCCCCCGTATCACGTTATTGTCAAGAAAGAGCCACGGAAAATTTGTAGGAACTTTCACGAATTGTAACAAAGAGTAGCACTATATTGGTCCATAGAGACGAGATGCAGGTATTCCGGTATTTCGCCACAAACCTGGTTTATTCAATCATCTATATTGAAGTATCTCTTACACACACTCCGTGACTACTCGCTCGTCTAGGTAGTATCCCTTCACCGTACATGAGAGTTTGCTTCGCAATCGCGACAGTGAGTGACTAGGAAGTGGTCATCCTCAGCGGAATCCACGACGACGGGGGGAGAGGGAGGCGTATTCGTTCCCCTCGAGAGGTGGTCGTATATGCACAGATCAGAATTGAATACAGCAGGACGTAGCTTGCACGATGATTGGTGCGTTCGAAAAATAAGTCGAGTAGGCATTCCATGGAGGTGTTGATCAGCGCCTCTGTGCTGCACTACCTATTCCCAACACATTAGAAGAAGGTGTACGGAAAGCCCACCGAGAACGACAATGTTGGCTCCATAGGGGGAGAGCCTCATACTACAGCTAGGCTGACCCTTCAGAGAGTAAAATCTGCGACGAGCGAATTTTCGCTGTATTTTATCTGCAGCAAAGATATTGTGCTCATAGAAAACCATCTAGTTTTGGAGACCATTTAGCTATCCGTTCTATTTTATGTCGCCCAGTGTTTTCAGAGTATGGTATTACTTGATCACAGTCTGGTATCGATCGGCGCTGGCCGCTACGGTCTTGGAAGAGTATAGAAAATGGAAGGATAGCAGACTGTTTGTTTTTACAACAAGTTCCCTCCTATTTCCCTACACTCTCAAAACAGAAGCGGCCAGCGCCAATCAAATTTCATCTATGGCTTCCTTTCCCATACATTGGAGCGCTACTGGAAAGGTAGCGCGTCGTAGAGCGTCAACGCAAAGTCTGAACGCTCCCTGATAGATCCACCTTAGTAAAAATCGTGCGGTGTGTTCCGATTCTGAAGCAGTTCATCATCTTCTTTCTGTGGAAGGGATCTTTATTCAAATACCACCTTATAAGCGAAGCACAAGGGATTGGCATGCGCCACCGCTTTTCAGGAATTCACTCATATCTAACTCGGTGACGGTGATCTGACGTTTTGACAGTGCCTTCCGCGTGGCTTCCGTAACGCCGACTGGTGACAATACCGTATTCCGTACTTGTGATTGCATTACAGACAAAAGCATTTGCTTCTTCTTCGGATACAGCAATAGAATGAGGTAGACGGCGCATTATCTGAACTTGTCTATAACACTGGGTAAAGATAAAGCATCACTGATCATGTTACTGTTTGCTCTTTCAGTTTCAGAAAGAAAAAGAAGTGAAAAAATGTGAACAATTACTTTAAAAGCGCGCGCCACCATTTTTCAGGAATTCGCTCATACCTAACTCATCAACTGGGATCATCTGGGAGGTGAGGGTACCCCACGAGTAAGGTAGGCGGGGCCGTAACAGCAGAACTGTAGCACTGAAATATGAATGTGCGCAGCAACGGACGTCTCAACCTACTGCATTTTATCACGAAGCCATCCAGTCACAACTGGAAAGCCTGCACTCAGATTGTTACAGTTGCCCACGCATACCGGCACCACAAAATGAACCTTGTAGGGTAGCAAACTGGAGCACATGTCTAGGACTTTGGTCTACTCCGTCATTATTAGAAGACAAGGCTATAGAAGAACGGTGGGTTGCCAAAAAACAACTCTCGCTATAAGAACTACTCGTGTCGTTTTCTGTGGAATAGATAGTTCGGAAATCGGGGCTCCAGCTAGCTTCTGGAACGGAGTGGTAGCGCTCCAATCTGATAACTAAGCTTAGAACATTGTGTTGCGCACAGCAACTGTCATGAAGTTGGACATTCCATTTTCTTAAGGTACTCAGCCCCCTTCCATTCCAAGTAGGCGAGAGTTTCTCCAACGCCCTTCGATTCCATGTGGTGGCACCCAATGCTGTAGCAGTACAAGTTTCCAAGAAGGTACAGGCGACGACATGAAGGCAGGATATTCTCCTCGAGTTGCTCGATGTAACTGTCAGCGTTCACTTTCAGTCCGGGGCCCATGAATACCGGTCTTAACATTCCAGGAACTTCCATGCCATCACCCGCCCCTTGGCGACTGCGGTGAAGATGATATCCTAGACCGTAGCGACGTTGTCGGAGCTGCTCGATGTTGGAGGTCTTCCAGATCGAGAGTCTCCAGGTAGCTATCCATGGGTGACTCCATACAAGAAGTTTCGCAGCTGTTTGGAGGTGACGTGAATTCCATAGGCCTTCTCCAGTCAGGCTGCGATTGGAGATGGCTTCATATTTTGGTGTACATGAAGGTGATGGACGAGGGCCTGCTCCTGCTTATCGAGCGCCTTAGTGCTCGTATCCGACTTGTCTGGGCTGCGTAAACTTTCCTGATATGTGACTCGGACGGAGTGTCTTTCCCCCCATGTATGTGAGCATGAGACATCGACACCAAACGTCACGCTCAACTGCTGTAAAGGGCTGCAATGGCACTGTAGGTTTCTGTGGAGCAGAAATTCAGAATGTGCGTGAATCTCAAAGGATGTAATTAAATGCCTGCGATGAATTGCACTTGTGAAAAAAGTGTAATTCTCAGAAACAGACAAAACTTTGTCAAAGTTCATGCTAAATGAAATGAAACGTGAATGCAAAAGTCTTATGATAATTACCTCCTTTTTGGTTTGCTCTGAAAATGCTGGCGGAAACCAGAGAGCGGTTGTTCTGTCAACTGGTGTGAAGCACGTGTCCAGATGATAAAATTTAGGATGTATTAGCTCGCAAATAACAGTGTCAAACTTTCCCAATACTTTTAATTGCTCATAAACCTGAATTCAGGCATCACTTACGCAAAGCGTATCACATATCGCTCAAACAACGAACTTCTTTGGCAGATCGTGGACCATATCCAGCCCAAAGCGTGTTTCTGTCGGAAAATATGGCATCACCACCTCCTTCGAAAAATACCGGGTACTGATCACCAAAGACGCGAAGTTTGCAGGATTTGAACCACTTCCGGTAATGTGGTTGCTCTGCAGATCTGCAATGGCTAATCTCATGGTTAGGAAGGAGTTTCTCGCGATGAAGTGCTCAACATTGACGAGAAGGTTGATGAGAAGAACCTAGTAGGCAGGAAGTGGGCAGCCACGCCCTCTCCAGCCCCGGGATATTCAGTGTAGTTTAATCTTATATTAATATTGAAACTGCTGAAGAAGCGCAGCAGTTCCAATCGATAGGTTCATCGCTCGTTGTTCGTTACCTCTCTTGTGTCGAAATCTGCTGAGATATACTCTGTTGTCAAGAACAAGACCTGAATGGCAGACAAATACCTGGTCGGAAAGCCCAGGGACCGGTTCCATCGTCAGCACCTGAAATCGCATTTCTTCCACCGGAAGCAACATTTAGATCCTTTATCTCCCCAGTAGCCAAACACGACAAGAAGTCGTTCTAGAGGGAAGTTCCAGAAAGTTGCCAGTAAATGTCTCAAAGGACCCTAGCGCAAGATCACTGGCTCCCATAATAGAGTTATCGTGCGGGAAGGACTCGAATAAGGCTTCTTTTCTAGCCAAGTCTTGTCCTCCTCGCGCCTAGGTTGATGAATCGAAAACCACTGAGCCTCACACTTTCCGGCAGCGTCCACGAGCGACCACCAGCGTTTCGAGCGTCCGTCAGCGCCAGCGACTAGGAAGCTATGGATACCAAACTAGCGAACCTTAGCCCCACCAGCGTCCACTAGCCACTAGGAAATCTGGAAATCGATTTAGCGAACGCCAGCGTCCATTAACGTCTAGCAGCGTCCACCAACGTCCATGAGGGGAGAGTATGGGGAAGTAGTAGATTAGTAGACCGCTGCTACAGTATGGAGTAGTAGGATGGAGCAGACAGCTGAGTTCGGCGTCGTGAAACTGCGGCGTGTGTAACTGCACCGTACAACTGCTAAACAACAGTTACGCCGTTTAATGTGTGTTGTATATATCTATACGGGAGCCACAAAGTATGAAGGCAGCCTAAGAATGCACGTTGCCCAACTACATCGTGGGCTAAGCTTTTAGACCACAGTAAGAGCTGATTTTTCCTCCCACCTGGACCTTTACCCTTCTATTGCAAAATGTGGGTAATGGGATGGTTATATGACTCTTTATATGCTAACTGATTTTCCAGTGAGGAAATACCACAGGAATCCGTCTGCAACGTACTGAAGAAAGCAATACAGGGGGGGGGAAAAGTCATTTTTCCTCCATGACTTTCAAGGCGCTATAAGTTACACTTTATCAAATTTTTATCGCGACATTTTTAATACCATATCAAAGAGCGTATTAAATACTATAATGACTACTCCTGCCACAGCCTTCTGGAGGAGCGCCATCGAGAGATTCGGCCGCGCGAAAGTGAGTGGGTACCGGAGTTGAGCGAGATCGTTGATTTCTCCGCCACTGTAGACCACCCTGTTGAGCTCCGCCCGAACTAGGTAATTGAGTGGGTTTAGGTCAGGGGACATATTTCAATATTACATCTTCATCAGGTACGAACTGGCCCTTCCATTGCGGACGTCCCGCGGAGAGTTTTTTCCAAAAATCCCTCGAGTTACCAAGTGTGGTGCTGGAATCCCTAAACCTACAAATGCTTTAGCAGCACAACGGCTCTCCAGCAAGGTACGGCAGCGTATCCACATTAGGAGGAGTATTTAATTCTTGATGTTACATTGAGTTAACACGCCAGGGCGCGCTCACCTTCAGTCGGGGTCTACAAAGAAAATATCGGTTCATCCATTCCAGGTACGGCCGGTCCACACCATCAACCCGCGCCTTGGTGAATGGGGTGAAGATGATGTCCTGGACCGTAGCGACGTTGCCGGAGCTGCTCGATGTTTGAGGTCTTGCAGATCAAGAGTACTGGTCTCCAGGTAGCTATCCATGGGTGATTCCATTCAAGAAGTTCCGCAGCTGTTTGGATGAGATGACTAATGAATTCCAAAAAGCGTTTCTCCAACCAGTAGACCGTCGTGGACATGGAGAATATGACTTTTCGTTATTTTGGGTGTAACATGAAGGTGAATGAGCAGCAGCCGGCTCCGCTTTTTTATAGAGGAAGAAATCGTTGGGTATAATTAATTTCGCCTTGGTACTCATATCCACGATCTCTGTCTGGCTGCGGAAAACTTTCGCTCATATGTTGACAGTACGCGCCGGCGAATACTTTTGTTTCTGCCCCCCCCCCGCCCGCAATACACTGCGAGGCGGGCAAAGGTCCGGGTGTGGAAGGATAAGAGGACAGAAAATTGACAGATATGGTCCCACGCAGATAAAAAATAGCGGTCTTGGAAACGTAACGCTGTTCATCTATGGATGGTGCCGTCGTCCGGTGGTTGGGGTTACTACGGCAAGACGGGGGCGAACACGCTCATCACTCATTTCCTATCCACAAACACGCAGCCTTTGCGGACAGGGCTTCCTCGCACAAAAGAGATTGTGGAGTGGGTTTTCCAACGGGTGAACGTTCTTCATCGCGCTGGTTTTGACAGACAAACGCCATCATTATGAGCAAGCTCGAACGCTGGAGGAACTCACCTCTACTCCTTGTTTTTCGATAGCCGCTTTGAGTGAGTTCCATTGTTCGAATGCTTTACTCTCATCGATCTGTCCTCCTGTCCAGGGGTTAATTTTATACTGAAGCTTTTGGACCCATGATGTAATGATGATAGCAAAAAAAACAACGCTCTACAAACCTCGATGTTATAGTGTTTCGGGGGTACCATCAGCACTCGTTTTAACAGCTGACCAGCCGCTTGCAACATATTTTCAACGCGAAATGAAATTATGTTGTCTAATCAAACTGCCACATCTGCTGCGGTGATAACGAGGAGTCCTCTTCGGAAGGAAAGATTATCGGAGATCTCCAAAGAATACGAGGAAGGCCGACATCTAAACCTAAAAGTTTCAAGGATGTGAAGGTGAAGGCAAGGGCGTACTCTCCTTATCACCGAACTCAGTCGGGGAGTGTTAGCGGCGCGTAGGTTTTGGCAAGACGCTGGCCTCTTTCTCACCACTTACTGAACACCCGTAGCAATGATCGGTGGAAAGCAGGTGGCACGCACCTGAAGTCATGGGCTAATGCCGTTTGGACTCCAGCAATTTCGGCACCGAGCTCATTTTTAAATTGCCTAAGTCACCAAATCCGCTAAAAACTTGTATAGGGGTAGTTTAACATCCTGATTACGAATATGACATTCACTCTTGCCTAATGGATGACACTACGATTATCTGCGCTCTGCTAAGGCTGAGCCCAAGAGGTAATCGTAGTGTTATCTTATGATAACTGCTGTTTAACGCCGCAGTACGCGTTCCGAATGTTATCACAAGAATGCTGAGTTGTGGGCAAAAGTCGTGCCCCAGGCGGGAGTCGAACCCGCACCTCACGCTTTCCGGGCGAGTGCGCTATCCGT